ACACACACACACACACACACACACACACACACACACACACACACACACACACACACACACACAAAGATAGAATATGCAGCGCCTGGCACGTGTGGACATGACAAGTATTCAAGGCACTCTGGAAATACGCACGCAGGAAACGCTCTGAAGACAGTGGCTTCACACGTCTCCACATAACTGCAGGTGGTGCAGTAAGGCCCCCGACCGACCGACTGCCAGTGTAGAGCAGCTTATGAATGTAAGGCTGGCTTTTCAGGTAAAGGAAGTCATGACATGCCCCTCCTGCAGGCCCATAAATCAGGCAGCTCAAACTCAACCACGACAGCTCTTGGGAGAAAGAGAGAGAGAGAGAGAGAGAGAGAGACAAGGAAGCATGCAGCGCACACAGACACACACAGGCACGAGCGCCATTCAGCTCAGCTCACACAGTCACGCGCTTGCACAGTGTTATGTAAACGACTGTGGCACTTTTTGCCTCAGGCTTTACACACCACACCTCCCACTATGTGGTCCAGTGTGTGTGTTTAAGGTGTGAATGTTGAGTAATTATGGAATCATGATTGTATCTTCAAAATAGCCCAGTTTAACGCAACTCTGATTGACGAATGATTATTTTCAAACTGAAGCTGTAGGAATGAAAAACAAATGGGGAAGTGCTACTTGGAACTTATGGCAGGTGAACTTGATGTCTTTTCTTTTCAACAGAATCAGCCCCTGACAGACTGTTATTAAATATGTTTTTCATATTTCTACTGCAAATAAAGTTCAATGAACAGAATCACATCAGCACGCAAACCTCTGATTGGCTGGTAATGGCCAGTGGCTTTTCTTGTGCAACAGCCCTTTTTATTCATCTCATCACAAATGAAAATTAATGATCTTCCACTGATTTCTGTCACACTGCCCACAGTAAAAACATGATAAAACTAATTAATCAATCAGGTTGTTTAACTACTGAGGTTGCAATGACTCATGAAATGCAAAAACAGGAGGAGTATAAAAAGCCTTTTCTAATCTGTATAAAAGACTTGCTATTAACAATGATGTCACATGAATGTGAAGAAAGTACTACTGCATCAAATGCTAAATCTTTATTATGGAAGTTACCTGCAGCAGCAGTACCACATAAAGATGTTTTCACATCAATTCACACCAGTAATTTCACCATCGCTTAATCTTCTATCCTGCCCTTCTTTTGTCTAATAATATTCCCTTGTGTGAACTGGGAAGTGAACTGTCATAATTTCAGGAAAAATTCAGAATTCGATAGAGAGCACTGCTGCAGATTTTGGAGCTAATAAAGCAACATTTAATTGAGGCTTAATATCATGTACCCTTAATCACTGCAGCTTCCTGAATAAAACGTACATTTGCAGGAAATGTTCCTGCACTTAGCTCTGTAGAGTTACCTGATGTAAATGAGATTGACTTCTCAAATTAGACACTGTCTGATTATTACAAAATGTGCAGTGCAAAATCCCATAAGTCAGAGAACTTGGAAATATTAAATTAATATTAAATTATCAGCAGATAAGTGTGTGTGTGTGTGTGTGTGTGTGTGTGTATGTAGTAGGTATCTGGTTTGTTAAATTCACCTATAGGTTTTATATAAACACTTATTTCAGTCTTTTTCAATTTTACCTGAAAACACATTTTGACACAGTTTAAGTCCATTCATGAGGAGGCAGACTAAATGTTGTATGGGTGCTCTGAAAGAATTTGGCTGGCGGTAAATTAAAAACCTGCTTTGACAGTCAGAAACATTTTCTGATGCATTGGCCGTAAGTTTGATCTGCACCAGTCTATTAAAAGGGCGAGAGCTTTGAAGGGAGGGAAGCTGTTAGAGCTTGGGCTGTGCCTACAGCCAACAGCCAGGGAGCTGTGTTGTTACCAGTGCAGGTCGCACAAAATTGTGTTTGCTGGGGAGTGAAAGAGAAAAGAGATGAGGGAGAGCAACAGTGACAGAATGAGACAGAGAGGGAGAAGCAAGCCTCTAACTTGACAAGATTTAATGTCTTTTTTTTTTTTTTTTTTTTGCTACAGTGCAGCAGTCCATGCAATGGTCTGTCTCTCTTTTCTTTTTTTATCCAAATAAATTCTGAGCATCCAGTTCTGCCTGACCAACACAATGTCAGAATGAGAGATGCAGCGGTTATTCTGGTAGAAAACGGCCTTGCACAGTGAAGCAGTACCTGACCCTCATTAAGGGTTGGCCGTTCTTTGCACGCTCTGTGTGCGCTGAGAGCTGTGTACTGGTTCTGGTCACACGTACATGCCCACGGTTCCATTCATACTAAAATGAGGGCCTGTGTCGGTCTGGTGTTACATGCATGCATAACTGATCTCACTTTTCATTGTAGTGGCTGGATAAACTGTATATTGTACTTGGAGCATGCCTGTACAGTCAGCATGGTCACAAATTTGGGACATGAGTGGTTGACAACATGTGCATGACCATATAGTGGCAGACCTGCAGATGCGGAAACTATGAATCCGCCTTTACATCGCTGAGGTACCCTTGAGCAAAACTTTTAAGTGGCAACTGCATGAGTGGGGCAGAGCATTCAAGTGAACGTTCTGTAACTGTGAATTTGGAGGAAGACACGGCTGAAGAACAGCATTCATCATCAGTGTTTCTACCCGAGTTACATAAATGTCAAGCAGTGGTTGAGTCACTCATGATTACACATTCAAAGTATTCAATTATGCAAAAACCTGAACAAAAAAAATGTTCAGAAAGCATTTAACCATGCCTTTGATTATTATGAGGGCTATAGTTATGATTAAGGGTACATTCTACCACAGTCAACACAATTGAATATATCTGAGTTACTTTTTCTTCTGTAGACAATCACATAATCAGCCTGTTTACAGGTGATGTCAAATATTAATTTTCTCAGAAAAAGGACTGTGCATCCATTTGAATTGAAAGTGTTTATTTATTGCTTGTGAAATCATCCAGAGCTAAATCCAATTTCAGCTTTTCTTAAAACAACACCCTGCAAGCTTAATCAAAACAGCAGACGAGCAAACAACTAGTAATCAATAGATATGATGGATAAAAGCAAGGAGGCTGAAACCCCCCGCTACCTCTGGTTTCAAAGAAAAGAAAACAACCAAGCAGAAACAATAACGACAAAAAAAGTTAAATGAAGATCAAATGAAGCGTTGCTGCCAGCATAGTTCTCTTTGTGAATTCCAGAGGTGAGCTGAGCTGAATTCAAAAAGAGAAACAGAAATACTTGCAATAAGTTACAAGATTCAAGTGATACCTTAAATGCTTGCTCAGATTTTTTTTTTTACTTAGTTCGCAGCCTCCCCCACCTGAGAGAGAGAGAGACGATAAATCTTCCGATTATGTGCTCAGCTGAGGCAATGACTGGGCCAGAGGTCAAACCAGTAACAGAGATGAAAACTAGAGATTGTCTGGAGGCCCATTAAAAAGAAATTGCTGAGGAGGGACAGAGACGTTCATGTCCTGCCTGGGAGTGCGTGTGCATGTGTGTCGTGCGTGAGGGTGAGAAGTACCGTCACATGGTAGGGGATACATCCAGCTCTAAATTTGAGGTATGACATTCAACATTTCCTGCCAAACATTCTTTTCATAGGTCGGTTTGGGAGAGGAAAACAGCTGCCACATGTTTTGTTTTCACCGCATTTTTCAACATCTCTCATCCCTTGCTGCACATTCTTTGTTCTTTGTCACCGCTGTGCTCATTTAGCCAAAGAATGATTGTGTGCTCAGACAAAGCTGTGTGGAGAACGTGGTTGGGCTGAATTCTTATGTTAGCACACAGCTATTGTGGTCTCAGAAAAAAAACAATATGGCCTTCCTGGAAGTCCCTGTCAGGCTGTCTCCACGTGCACACAGTTAAGCAGAATAAACATTTATAAAGCACCTCGCCATTTATTGGCCCATCTGAAGTATAGTTTTAAATCACATATGGTGGGAATGATTTCTGGGGGCAAGGTCACTGCTTTTGAAAATGTTTTGACATCTTTCATGACACACAGAGCATTTCTGCTCCGCTGCACCTGTCATGTAAAATAACATTCTGCCTTCGGAGCCTCTTCATTTACTCCCAGCTTAGAAACACTGGGCAAAAATCACATTTCATAATCATTAACGTTCCTCTAAAATATACAACCTGAAGTAACAGCAAAGACACAAACCCTCACTGACAGGTGTGAAGAGAGATAGATGCAGCTACGCGACACAAAAACGAGAAAACTCAGGGAACCAAAGAGGCGATTGATCTACCTGCCATCATCTTCTGGGCCTCGTACGGCTCCATGTAGCCGTCATTCTCGGTTGTCACTTTCTCCGTGGTGGTCTGTGTGCCACCCGCCTGCTCAGCATCGAAAGGGTCCGCATAGTCTTCAAGGATAATGAGCTGCAGGAGATGAACAGAAAGGAAAGGTGAGATGTTGGTAGGGATGAAACAGTTATCTGTTTCACAGTAAACATCGCAATTGTTAGTTGTACCGTTTCAATCCTTAATTACCATGGTTGTGATTGATACTGTCTCCAAAACACAGACAGAGCAAGCAATATGCATTTGTTGTGTTTTAAAAACATGGCAGAGGGAGCGGCAGGCAGGGCCAGTGGGGGCTGTAGGAGAGCTGCTATTGCTTTGGACACTGACGCAACTTTATTTCATTCTTCTGTTGGATTTTCCAGCGTTGCTGCTTTCGGACGTGCACTTAACTCTGAACAATCTCCTGACATTATCCAGAGAGGCTGTACGTGAGAACGCAAATGTCCAAGTGAGATGCTCCGTACTTTCTCCAGAGTTTCCCTAGTAAATACTACGAATATCAGAATGAGGTCATGTGAGAACACAGCAGGACATCCTCCGCAGGATTCACCACAAGCAAGTGTGCATGTTGGACACAAAATTAAAAAAAGAAAAAGAATACAAAGGATTGAAGGTGCCATACAAGTAGAAGACACTGCTGAAGAAAAGAGAGCAAAGCTGTTGTTAATGTGCTGTAAACAAAAACACACCATCTCTGCAGCTGACTTAATACGTCTTGTCTTGCCTCCTGCACCACCCCTCACCTGAAAGCTCTGCTGTTGTGAATGTGTCTCTGAGAGGAGAATCTCCTGCTGTGAAACCAGACCCCATTCTGTGAACATTCTCCAGAGTTCATGAGTGAAAATGGCTCAGGTGACATCATTTTTTGTTTAAGTCAGAAGTTAAGTAAATCCCCTGGTCTCTAGTCAGTCAGACTACTTTGCTAAAGCTTTTCTTCTCCATTCTTAATGGTGCAAATTTGATATGCTGTTATATGGCGCTATATTATTATTTGGATTGATAAAAAAGGTTGTATCCATACTTTTTGAACATGTTCAGCAAATGCATATCAATGACTGTGATAATGATTTTGGTCACTATTATCGGGATAAAAAATGTTCACACCTGTTCAGCTGTTGGTAGGGAAAAGGTGAAATAGCAGGGTGGGTCATTCATTTTGCTGCTCTGTTGAACACTACAACATGTGTCAGGAGAGTTGCATAAGCGATGCTGCTGCGGACCAGGGCAGGACCAAGTGATATCCAGCAAGGCAGGTCAGGAGATAAAGAAATACATAAATAACACCCACCTCTGTGTGCCTCACCACACCACAGCTTTTAGCCTTACAGCTCGCTCTCTGCGACTGCTGGTCGGCCTAATTATATGATAGCCCAGTGACAGGCCTACATTTCAAAAGTAGAGGAAACAAGGACCACGACTGCTCAACTTTTCTAAAGACAAACAATTTAGCAGATTTATGCCGAGCTGGCAGTGAGCCCCGGCTAATTGCAGTCTTGCTCTTTTGCCGAGCATTTTGTGCAGTGGATGGCAATTAGGTGGATGTCCTGAGACCCAGAAATACAGCCCAAACCTAAAGGGAGAGGAGCAACAGTCCGTGGCTATAGTGCCTTGGGGCGACATTTGTTTCCCTGAAATGTTTGCCTCATCTACCAGGACGCCACTTCAAACGTAAAGATCTGAACTCCCGTCGGAGCCATCTGTCCTCTTGGACATTGGATGTAATGAGGGGATGTGAGTAGTGGGTTTCAAGCCAGCTGTCAGAAAATAGTCTTCTCCTCTGTTGAGGTTCCTGACAGTCTGATCCTGCCAAAGTTTTTAAGATTAAAACCAGGCAAGGAAACGCTAATTCTCTAAGTGAGCATGTAAACAGGTACATGACAAGGATTGGCACTACACCCTATGAGTCATGCTTAACAGGAAGGGATTTACTCTCATTACAGACAAGCTCATCACTCATCTGGTGGATGGGGCCGGGCAGGCAGGCAGGCGGGGGCAGACCAGAGGTGGATCTCATGCCTGCAACGCTGTGCCACCTTTCCTGGGAACCACCTCTGTCCTTCTTTGCTACAGGGAGAGAGAACACTTCCCAGAGGTAAACTCTATATGCAGGCCACCCTTGAGTGTGCCACATACACACACATGCAAACGTACACTCACACACACAAAAACACACACAAACACACCTGCAAAGCCTTAGGAAAGCAAGCAGAATGTATAAACCCTTCCAACTCTGGGATTCCTTTTCAGCTGGGAAAGCACCAACATTTTTACAGATCAAGGTCAAGTGTCATTTAATGGAGTCATACATTTTAAAGAAAAGTTTTCAAGCGTTACATGCTAAGAAGTTCACGAGGGATAATGTGTAAGCTGCTAAGTGATGGCGAAGTGCTGGCAGGTATATTCCTGCACAGATCATCTGCACTATACAAGGATTAGGCAATAACAGAAAAGCCAGTAAGTGCCGCGGATGTGTTTCAGAGCAGTAACTGTGTGTTAAATCCGTCTTCTTCAATATTCTCTCTCCATCTGTTTTGGGGAAAATAACCAGGACCTTTTTTTTCTGCCACAGCATAATTATGGGTTCTTCAAATATTTTGCTTCTGTGAATTCAAACAGGGGGGATATATCCAATTCAAACATTGTCCTAGTTTGTTCTACATGCCACAAACAAATGAACATATTTCACTCACAAGCTTAATTAAAATTCAGCCATTCTGACAAGCAACATCTTCTCAGCCCCAGAGACCCCAGATTATGCATCGCAGCCACAGAATCATTATCATCTCACACCTTGTTGCATGGAAACGCAGCCATCTGTAATCATAGCGTTATGTGCCAAACCCACCTCAGGTCCATCACTGTAAAACACAGCCTGAACCTAAAAATAAGTAACCTCACTAAAAAAAACATATGAATCACCTAAATGGGAGGGATGAAGGCCAGTGAGTGAGGACCACATACTGCGGCACAGTCGCTGTTTGATTCCAAAGAACGCACATGTGATATGACATTTGTTAGCTGCAGAACCTTACATTATCCTCTGCAGCTCCAGTTGACAGAAATAGTTTATAGCTGCGTTTCAACCAAAAGTATCTCGAACTTTTAGTCACAGGAACTTTTTTCAATGAACTAAAAGGTTCCTGCAGACAGCTGTTCCCCTGTGTTTACATTGCTGTCTAAAGACAATAGGAGATAAGGCAAATTAGCCGGCTGACATAAGATACAACAAGCTGTTCCACTCCAGTTCAGCAGGGGGGCAGCATGGCAGAAGAAAATGGTGATGCTATGTAAGAAAAATTTCAGAGATTGGCCAACTGTTAGAACAATTCTACAGTGCTTGACCAATTAGCCATCTTTTTTTCAATTCCTGCCTCCTGTGGAAAGTTCCTGCAGGCGAAACACAGCTCATATCTTTGTCCACAGTGATGCTCACACCTTAAACTTCTCCCACCTTACCACTTCATACACCTTCATCATTAGCCAGAGGATGTTTGGGCATGTTTAAGGAAATAATAGTGATTGCTTGTGGAGTTACCGAATGTGTGGAGCCACTCAAAACTCATGACATCATCGTTTGCTTTCCTGTTGACATAACGCAGGACAAATATAGGGCAGGGTGTGTGATGAAAACGAGTGATAGCATCAGATAGAATGATGTCTTGGAATAATGCAATCATGGTACATTCAAACACAACACTTCCGTTGGCCCATAAGAGCAAAGAAGGCAAAACACTTCACTTGGAAGTGTGTCACTCCAATATACACTGTTTGTGCTCCAATACTGTTTATACCCTCATAAAAAAAATCTAAATTGGGCTCAAGTTAAGTCTTATACTGGTTCTCTGAAAGCAAACTGGAATCAGTCAAAAGGATCTTGGTTGTACTGCCCTTCTAAAATACTTTCCATGTTCAATCCCTTTTAATAATGTATCTAAAATATTAAATTATTGTCAGATGGAATTACTATGAAACACAATGCAAAAGTATCTACATTCAGTAAAAATATTGCAATAAATATTATGATTTAAATATAAAAATAAAATAAAAATATTTAACTCCAAGCTGAGCAGTAAAGCTCTTTTCAGCTCTTGACTCATGTTTATATTTCAGTAAGGAGGGACAGACAACACCCCCCCAATCAAAAGCAAATTTAAAGGTGATGAGTGACGACAACCAGTTTCCAGCCCGACTATCATTGAATAAAAATGAAACAAAAAGAAGTTGGTTGTGGAAGATTGAAGTTTCTCTTTGCTATTTCACTTTCATTTTGAATTATGAGGAAAGGTGTGACTGAATAATCTAAGACTGCCTTTTAGTCTGAACTGGCAGAAACAGAGATGTTTGACAACAATGATGTAGAAACTCACAACTGCTCTGGGTCTTAGACCAAGACTTTGTTGATTGATCAGGCTTGTCACATGACCCCCGTCCAGAAGCCAAAACAACAGGCATTGGCCTCAGCTACCAGTGTAGAACACAACAAGTACAAGAGCTGCTGTCCCTGTAGTCTTTGCTAACAGCTGTTGTGAAGTTAAATTTGTAGACAGCCTATTTCGAGCAACCTGCAATAATTCTGCAACTAACAACCAAATTCTCTCGGCTTACACAGGCACGTGCATGTGAATGTGTAAATGAGTACACATGATATGAAGTGTGTTAAAATAAAAAGGATCAAAACTGATGCTTAGTTTGAAAACAATATTTGTTTTAATGAAAAAGTAGCGGTATGGATGTAGCCTTAGATTAACAGGATACCTCTATATGGTGCCATCACTCAGCCCCTGCAGCCTATAGTTCATGTTTTGGTGGTGGATGGGGTTGATATTTCCAAACTGTTACAGTGTGTTCCTCCAGTCCTACTGCACTAATGACTACTCAACAGCATGGGAAGCACAGGGTGGTTTGTGAGGAGTGGGGTGCTATAGAGCAGTGGCTCTGCCTGGGGACACACCATCTGCCTTGTGGTATGCCAGGGTGTGTCAAGACTGCAGCCAAGCCACACTTGTCATGAAAGTTAAATTCCACCCCCCTCAGCATAAGACTGCTGTGCTGAGTGCCTCAATATATCAGGTCTG